AATACTAGAGTTCTGAAATAATCTTATCATACCTGCCACCTGAATCAAATTGGTCTTTTTCTGGTTTACATCCTTGTCGAACCCAAAAAATTTTGTTTTTTTTCATAGTTTTATTTTATCATCTTTTTTCTTGGTATCACTACATAATAAATATGAGCATTCGCCGTATACAAGCTCAAATATCTTACCTTCCTGTTTTTGTAAATACATAAAATCTGGTTGTTTTCCCAAATGTCCCTTTCCTTTTCTATTTGCACTAGCAGTGCTTTGTCACTCTACACTATAATTAATTTCAAAACATGAGTTTGATAGTATCAAATAGAATAACATTTATAATAAAATGGCATACGTGCTGATGAATACAAATTGTCTAAACGGAAGCTCTTTAAATAAGGCCCAAATCAAAGAAATTATTATATCCATAACATAGGTTCCTTCGCTTTGTGTTTTCATGAGTTCTGGCCCAAATGCTAGATTTCTCCAAACATTAGCCCTTGAGAATCAAATAGCAAATAATTATCAGTTTACAGATTTTATAAGAAATTTCCTCATCTTGAAATTACTCACAATACATCAAGAATATTTTTCGCAACACCCATAAGGGCTTCATCTGTCTCTTTCCATTTTCCATCATATGTGAGCTTTACGCATGAATCTTCTGGACATTCTTCTGTAAAGTCTAATGTGAACTCATGACATTTATCTTTAATTGAGTCCAGAAGTGTGACTTTCATATTGCATGCCAGTTTCTGTTGAAGAATCAATCAATTAATTATTATCTAAAACAAAAACAAAATAATTCTTACTATATATTTTTTATACTGTTTGGGTGACAGATTTTTTACTATGATCAAATCATCACTTATAACTTGACTGGCTAAAGGGTCTTCCCGTATTAAATTTTTAAAGGAAATTTTATTAATATTTCGATAAAGCTCTATGAAGAGAGAAGATGAGCCATTTGAAAGTTTTCTTTGTAAAAATCTTATGTTTTCTCTATTATGTCATCATGAAGAAGAACTTGTTTATTCTTTACAAATATATATTAGTTTATATTCATAAATATTATTGTTATAAAAATGACTCATCGTACAGTTTTCAGTGCTTTGATAACACATAGACTATAGACAGTTTCATAGGCATATTCGAACTGACGCAGAAAAAATTTATTAGTCTAAGACTGAAAATATATATTATATACTAGTATTTAACATGTCACGGGCTATTGTTAAGTTATAAATTTCACTATATATATAAGAATATATAGTATTCGAGCCTGTTGTAAAATGACAGATTATATAGTAAGAAATAAATATCATATACAAATATATTACACAAGACGTCCTAAAAGTATATTACCTTATTCATTTTATACTATATCCTCTTTTGCTTAATAAAACTTTCTTAGTGCTAGGACAGAGTACAAAACCTATTGTAAAATGCCGGTGATTTCTGTTACGTATAACAATTTCC